CATGAAGAAAATTGATTCAACATTACTGTGCTGTATGGGACATTTTTCTTGATTTTAAATTTCAATGATTTTCTACTGAATTTTATTGAAACTTATTGAAATTCACTGAAATTTCGCTGATTTTCAATGAATGTTGCTGAAATTTACGATGATTTCACTGATTTTCGATGAATATTGCTGAAATCATAATGAACGTGGGTCAATTGATTGAGTTTTTCAGCAAAATTTCAGCACATTTCATTACGTTTTCAGTAAGTTTCATTATAATTTCAGCAAAACTTTTCCATCAGGGCATTTTTGCCTCGTATCTACCGTTGCTTTCGGACGCACGTCATGATCAATTTATGTTGCGTTTCTGCTGTTACGTTCGAGCGGCACGTCGTGGTCGATTTCTGCGGGAGCGATGCACTTGGACACGGTGCATTTGGACACAGCCAATCACAACACCGTGTGATTAGAGACATTTGTAGGGTCCCTTGGAACAGCGACTTGTGATTGGACTGTGTCCAATTGCCCCATGTCCAACTGATATACACCCGATTTCTGCTACGTTTCTGTCCTCACGTTCGAAAGCACGTCATGATCGATTTCTGTCGTATTTCTGTCGTTAGTACATGATATAGCACGTTGTATGATATATCTTCTATATTTCTATTGTCATACCGTGACAGAAAATTGTGTTCTATTTCTACCGCACTTGTCGCGTCATTGATATAGAAATCAGGCTATGCGTGGAAGGTAACATATTTTTGCAATTATATTATTAGGATAAATGATGATATATTTCTGTTACATTTTTGTTGCCGGCACACTTTATCGGCAACACGTTGCAGAGAAAATTAAGCTTAATGAGAGCACAGTTGCTTGAAATCTACTGCATAACCATGATTCAATCTGCCGGCATGCTGCCAGCATTTTGCTTGCTGGGAATATATTATTAAATGAAAAATAAAATAATTAGAGAAATATAATAATGTTGAAAAAAATTATAATAACTTACACAAAAAGCACTTGGTTTTTTTTTAATACTATATCGATAATCAATATAATATTTTGATAGTCATTATAAGAGAACCCATTTGCCTATAAAAAAGGCACGCTAAGTGCTTTTTGTGTAAGTTATTATAATTTTTTTCAACATTATTGTATTTCTCTAATTATTTTATTTTTTACTTAATAATATATTTCTAATATATTAATAATATATTTAATTTATAAATATATTATATAGTCAAAAACACATATGTTTATAAAAGTAATTTATAAAAGTATATAAAAGTAAAAATTGAAATAATTAATCATTCGTACTTGGCGTAAACCTCTTGATATCATTACTTTTATAGAGAGTATAAAATTATTCTGTGTTTTTCAATAAAGTATTCGCGAGAGTACAATTGATCTGAATAAGGTTTTAATATTTTTTTTAAATATCTTTTAGCTGAGCTTTTTGTTATAATGTATTTATAACGATTTTTTTTGTAAATATAAGACGAGAGAGTGTGTTGAAGCGGGAGCTGGGTAGCCCAGTGGTTTAGAGTAGTCGCCCGGCAAACGAAAGACCCGGGTTCGAGTCCCGGCCCAGCAAGCTTTAGCTTCCGATATACTTTTCTTTTCGACTCTTACACTTTTCAACGTTGAATTTATATTCCAAAATGTTGATACAACATTGCAATGTCACAACGCAACGTGAAATGTTGATTCAACGTTTGTGTGGGTAAGGTTATGGCTAGACTCATTTTATAATTATAATAAGACTCTTTTTATAATTATAAAACTCTGTCAAAATATTGCGAGAAAGAAAGAAAGAATATTCTTTCTCTTTTGCGAGAACGTAAAAATTATAGGTTAAAGTAATCGCATTATAATTGTTGTTACGTCCTTTGAAATATTTATCGACAAATATTTATTTAATTATAAACATTACACTTTTTAAACGATGTAAGAGTATATTGTAAATACAATCCACCAAGATATCGTTACAGCGCATCGGCATCACCGATCGCTTACGATCTCGTACGATCTTTGAAGTCAAGCATTGGACAGCATATGCGTATTCATAGTCTAGCCTTATATTTAAGCCTTCCTCTAGTTTATCTTCAGATGTTTTGTAGCCAATAAAATAATCCATAGAGTCATCTAAAGATGGGTGACCGCCCGACACGAGATCGAAATCACGCGAGTCTCACGAATTTATAAAACAACACAAAATTTTAAATATCAGTTTTTTCTTATTATTTAAACCAAATAATTATACATTATCAATTATCTAAACCGTATTAATTAATAAATCTTTGGAACTAAAAAAAAATTAAATATATATACATATACAGATTATTAGTGTTGAAAACACTCTCTATATTCATAATTACATTTCATTATACTTTCCTCAATCTATTTTGATTAATAATGATCTTACACTTAAATTTTTCTAAATTTATACTGAAATATTGCTGGAGCATTTTAATAAAATTATAATAAATTTTAATGAAACTGAGTCAATTTTGAATGTTTTTCAAAAACATTTTAGCAAAAGTTTATTATATTTTCAATAAATTATTTTTATTAGCGCTTATTTCCATTGAAATCTTACATGCGAAATCTTGCGAAAATCTCATACGAGTTCTCAGTTACGATCTCATGTGAAATTTTAATTGAGTTCTTAATTGAGATGTCAACTTGATTTTTTCAATAAAGTAGGTTTATCTCAAAAAATTTATTCTAACTCAATCTATAACTTTGATGTATGTTATCAGATGTCAAATATTGTCAGCAAGATATTTTTCACATATAATATACATAAGTTTAATTATAATAAAATAAAACAAAAATCTTGTCTCTATAAAATATTATTTAAAATTATATTTGAAATATTATTTTTAAATGAAAATGAATTTAAATATGAATATATCCAGACAAATTATATTTCAGCATATGTTTACTCAGTGACCATTCCAAGTATGTAAAGATAAATACTTTATATAATGAGAATTTTATCAGAAAAAACAAAAAGTCATCTAATGCTATGAAAATTGTGGCTATATTGCATATTGGTGATATCATACCAAAAAATTAGTACTTCTTTTGCTGGAAATAGAACGCAAGTAACCCAGATTTATTGTAGGAATAAGAAATAAATATTTTAATTAAAATTATAGCATAATAAATTGATATTTTTTAAAACAAGCATATTTTAAACATGTTATATTATTGCAATAACATTACAAAGTATACATTAAATGCTTATATGTAATGTTCAATATTTCTGTTTATTTGAGTATCTTTACCTTACTAAATTGATGATTTTACAATAAAAATTATAGGTACTGAATAAATTAGCCAAACATATAAGGAAATGTGTATTGTGAATTACAAACGAAAGCATCATTATATGTTGCTGTATATAAACAGTATATAAATGTCAAAAACAGAAACAAAGTTATCAGTAAGTACAATAAACCTCTCTCTCGTATCATATTATGTTAATTTTGTAAAAATGAGAGGTCATAATGGTAAATAAGAGATCATAATGGTAAATGAAAGTGGTCATAATGTTTTGGATTTTATTATTGATTTTATTATTACTCACACAAATGAGGAAAACATTCGAATAAATTAGATATAAAAAGTAAATACATTTTTTATACTTTTCAACCATATATGATATATATGTATTCTTTTAATATGTTTTTCACAATATTAAGCATGTTATTGGGTGCGTAATTGACAATTGTTTGTTTATATTTGATGTTAACTGAAGATGGTTCATAGCAAGACTAAAACGTACAAATTTTAAAGTTGTCTTGATTCAATGTATTTATATTTACGAATAAAATGTAGAAATTTTTATATATAAGATTTAGCTCCAAGACCAGCATTTTGATTCTTATTTGCCCAATTTTCTTTATCGTTGTATTGTGATTAAGTACAATGTTTGTTGTTGTTCCAAAAATAAATATTCTGGAATAAATTCATTTCTTTTTAATCAGAATACAATCAGAACTCAACTGCTTTTATGGATAACTTGTTCAAAAGCATATTAACAGCACAATACGTTATTACACAATATGTTATTATCAAACACTTTTCTATTTAAGTATAACACCTTTCAAACCATGCATTTGCTGCTATATTGTTAACTGCAACATTATAGTCATGTTTATCATGCTTGCAACATTAAAATTATCCATATATGCCATGAGACTTGTCTAAAACCATCGACTGCCTATAAGTTTTGCAAAATTATGAACCCAATATTAGTTCAAGTTCTCTCAACAATTGTAATGTATTTGTATTATCTTCTAACTTAGAACCTAATAAAAAAACAGCATAATCTTTTCACATCCCTTACAAACAAGTAATACTGGAGCTCAGTATGGTCGAACTTAGTATTTGGAGCACTTGTCTCAGTATTTAAGTACAGGAAAATACTGAGATATAAACACTCAAAGTATTACTAAATTCAACCATACTGAGCTCTAATATTATTTTTTTATAAGGGATATTTTGATAATGATAATTGTATAATGGTTATTTGTGGCTATTATACTAAGCATAATAAATAAAATTCATATATTTATATTGAGTATACTATATTGTGTGTAGTCATTCTGATCTATATTTATATATAAACAAGTAATCATTCATTGCATAAATATTACCAAAATTTATGCCAATAGGATGAGTGGTTTCCAGAAATTCACAGCCTATTTATTATAAATCTAATAATCTTATAAATGTATAAAATGGATAAACGAAAACATAAAGATATATTGTAAAAGATGAAAAAACCAAGATAGAAAGTAATAATTATCACGAAAAAGTTCCTGATTTTTTTATACTATTTGTACAGAGAAACTTTACACTAGACGTCGTAATTTTATCGAACATTGCAATAATATCAGCTCGCGTAGATGTAATATCGAAACGTAAACTTAAAAAAATTAAATAAGTTTTAATCCCTTGTCAGAAAATATTGAAAATGCTGAAAAAACTTAACTTACCGGCGTTATTTGACACGCAGTTGTGTGTCACAGTTTTCATGATGTCGATCGAAAAAACAAGATATTTTTCTCAGATTCTCTTTTGATATCGCTTTTTGGTTAAGAGTAACAATATACGTTGGTATTGATTATCCAGTATCTCGTGAAGTAGCGCAGTCGCTGTTCTTCGTATAGTGAACATGTAAGTATTCGTGAATACCCATTAATGTCTAAATATCCCGCTATATCAAAGTTTGGACTGATATATTTGAACCAGTATAATTAATAAACGTTCGCGAAATGCTAGATTGGTTTTCTTTCTTATTCCTTTAAAATGGATGTCATTTTTAAAATATAAGTACATTACTGTATAACAATTTCATATTTTTTTGTTACAAAAGACAAGTCGTTTTATGACACAAAAATATTATATGTTTATATTTCATTACTCATTTGCAAAACGATTTGAATATGTGGTCTGTTCTTTTCGACTGCACTGCTGAACTAGGAAGCGATCATGAATCTTTTCTCCTAGTGTGAAATTGTGAAAAGTGAAAATTTTGTAATGAACTTGTGAAAGATGAAAACTTTCACTAAACTCGTGAAAAATGAAAGATTTAACGTGAATTTGTAAGTAAAAGAAATATTACAATATACTCAAGACAACACCAATTTGCAATGGACATCTTTAGAATTTTTTCAGCATGTTTTTAAGACATAGTGATGTCTTTAGAACGTCCCTTGGAAGTCTGCTTGTCTGGGATTACTTTAGGATAAATTATTAAAAGATAAAATATTCTGTTCATATTAAAATTATAAATCTGCAGAAAATATATATTTCATATAAAATAATATATAAAATACATGCAATAAATACATAAAATAAACTTACATTTTACTTACTGCATACAATTTATAATATATTACACTTTAACTTTCTGATGCATACGTATCTTAACTTTGCAAACTTCGTCGGTATGCTTTCACTGCCTATACGTCATCACGCTTCAATTGGCTTTTGTTGTTCATTTTTAATGGACGTAGGATTCTTATGTCAAATGTCAATTGCCGTATAACCATAAAAATTAAAGTCACTATAAGAAATTCTACTCACTTTCTACATAATATGTGAGTATAGTATTACATTATTTTTCACATTTAAACCATATCGCTTGATGCTTAAAAATTTTCATGGAAACTTACACAATTTATATATAAAGAAAAACATATACGAGCAAACTGAAAGTTCACGTGAAATATGTCACGTTTTGAGAATTCACTTTTCACGATTAACGTTCGTCTCATTTATTAAATTTACTCATATTGTATTATTATATTATATTACAACTATAAATTTAAGTTGTATAATGCTTATTAATGTGTTATATATTACATTGTGTATACTGTAATTACATTTTAATTTTAATAATCTATATTACATAAATATTGCTTTCCACATTTTCATTGTTCACTTTTCATGTGAAATAAGTTACAATGAAAAGTGAAAAATGAAAATGAAGTTTACGTGAAAGATTCATGATCCTATCCTGGTACAATAAGTTAGAGTGAGACAAGTATATTTTTTCTCACTCTAAAGCGGCACACGATGCTTGTTTTCATGCTGGATTGCTTGCTGGATGGGAATACTTTATTCTGATTGGTGCATTTGTGAAGACGGACCAATCAGAATAGAGTATTTCCATCCAGCAAGCAATCCAGCACGAAAACAAGCATCGTGTGCCGCTGGCTTAACTTATTGCCAGTTCAGCAGTGCAGCCGAAAAGAACAGACGGTAACCAATGGTTACCCGACAATTTCCCGAAAAGTGGAGGGGATAAAGTTGGCACTAACAAAACCCTCTAGGCTACATAATTTCAATTCCTGAGAATTAGCGGTACTGTTCAAATAGTAAGTCTGTTAGTTGGTGTAAGGGCTATCGCACCAAATTGACATAACTGCATATGCATAGCATAAGATCGTATGGACCAATGAGCATCGAATATTAAGCATCGAACACCAATATGGCGACTTAATACTCGATGCTCATTGGTACACGCACCGGCGTTAATGCCGTCCGAATATCCGTGTGACTCGCACACGATAACGCGTCACTCATACACTGCTGCGTGTAGGTGAGCTAAGAGCAGCACGGAGTGGCGGAGGGAGTTAGCGGTATACGATCGTCGGACGCTTGGAGAGGGAATGAATAGTGGTGGGAGTCGCGGCGATCTTCCATCCTCTATCGCAAACGTAAGAACGAGAGAAATAGCATTATAAGACGTCTGGACAGAAATGCCGTCCTAAAATACGTGTGAAACACACGAAGAAAACGCTTGACTCACACTGTCTCGTCTATACGTGAGCAATACGCGGTGTCCCGATTGTTTCGCTCGCTCGAACGTTCATGCATTTTTCATTGTTAGCAAGGAAATTACTGTAATGTAAAAATCTTGGGGAAAGGTTTTTAGGAGGCTTTGACAAATGCTTCTTAATAGCTACTCTTGAAAAAAAAATTAATATTAGATTTATTTTAATATAGAATTCTGAACCAACATAGAATATGTTGCAACAATATAACGTTTGTGTAGGTTGTCGATCGAAGAAGAGTATTTTTAATTTTATTGTTGCATAAACACGCGAGATATAATTATTTCATATTTTATGCGTTCGAGTATCGTTCCATCGTTATAAAATTTGGTGGCCCTGAGAAGGGCCGATTTTTGTGTCGAAGCAGTTGAGGTCGATAGTCAATAGTAGAAACGGGTCGCATTTTTGTATCCATAGTAATAAGGAACAATAATTATTTGAAACAGGCGCAAAAATCGGCCCTTTTTAGAGTCACCAAATTTTATAACGATGGAACGATACTCGAACGCATAAAATATGAAATAATTATATCTCGCGTGTTTATGCAACAATAAAATTAAAAATACTCTTCTTCGATCGACAACCTACACAAACGTTATATTGTTGCAACATATTCTATGTTGGTTCAGAATTCTATATTAAAATAAATCTAATATTTATTTTTTTTTCAAGAGTAGCTATTAAGAAGCATTTGTCAAAGCCTCCTAAAAACCTTTCCCCAAGATTTTTACATTACAGTAATTTCCTTGCTAACAATGAAAAATGCATGAACGTTCGAGCGAGCGAAACAGTCGTCGGGACACCGCGTATTGCTCACGTATAGACGAGACAGTGTGAGTCAAGCGTTTTCTTAGTGTGTGTCACACGTATTTTAGGACGGCATTTCTGTCCAGACGTCTTATAATGCTATTTCTCTCGTTCTTACGTTTGCGATAGAGGATGGAAGATCGCCGCGACTCCCACCACTATTCCCTCTCCAAGCGTCCGACGATCGTATACCGCTAGCTCCCTCCGCCACTCCGTGCTGCTCATAGCTCACCTACACGCAGCAGTGTATGAGTGACGCGTTATCGTGTGCGAGTCACACGGATATTCGGACGGCATTAACGCCGGTGCGTGTACATATGGTCTTATGCTATGCATATGCAGTTATGTCAATTTGTGTGCGATAGCCCTAAGGCTGGGAGCACAGGCTTTTGCATAACGCATAACGCATAAGGGAATCAACCTATCAGAGACCTTTATTTCCTTCTCCAGGATAGAAATGAATGACTCTGATTGATTTCCTTATGTGTTATGCATTATGCGTTATGCAAAAGTCTGTGCTCAGACCCTAACCTTGTTAACAGTTGTGACCAGAGAGAAGCCTGAGAGCGGCCACGCCATATGTTTTGGGCGACACTGATTTTCACGCTGGTGCGATACGCCATCTGCACCTATTTTTCAGGTGGAACTACCTTCCCTACGCCCATTTTCAGACGATGCCGGTAAAGCAGCGGTGCATGTTTATTTTACGCCCATTTCCTGGCGATTCGTGTCCGTGTTAAGCGCATAATAGCGTGGTTAAAAACATGGACTATTGCAGAAATATTTCATTGCAAGATTGCAACATTGCCCATACAGCACATCAATGTTGCAGCAACATTGCAACAATGTTTCCTGCAAGATTGCAACATTGTAGGAATGTGAAATGTTGCTTCAACATTGCAGCAATGTTGCAGCAACGGGAAAATGTCCGCCCTGGGAAATATTGCTACGTAATATTGCAGCAACATTGCAATAAAATGTATATGCAATATTATTATTACTGTATATACAAGCCGTAATAGTCTGAACACATAAAGTCTAACTATTCTAGAACGCATAGATCTTTTATAGAAAGTTGTACAATGGTATTTTATTTAGTGTGTTAAACTAATGTGTGTAAAGACTAATATACTAACTTGTATATAATGAGAACCTAATAAACACTGACAAAACTGCTATATAATATAGAAATAACAAGATTACGTGTTACATTTGTGTTATGTAACATTTATATTCTGTATTTGTTGGGAAGTTAAAATGCATTTTAAAGTTGAGAGGCAATAAATAATAACATACAGTGTTTATACATTTATTATATATAAACATATATTTATATAAACATATATAAATATATAGATTATTATTCAAATTATAACAATAGTAACTATTATCACAGGTACAATGTAGACAGTTTGAACTCTGTAATCTAATTTTATACAAGCGCTTAAAAGAAAGGTTTTAAACACCATGTATGTTAATAATCACATTTTTGTACGCATATTCTGTGTATCAGTTATAAATAAAATATATTGGGTGGATCCATATATTCGTTCGGTTTTTGTTAGTAGTGCAAATTTTTTCCGAATATCTCCGGTTCTGGTTACCTAATCGGGCAATCCAAATATGCTTTGGAAAGGTGACAGTCCGCTCTTTTCATCTGTCAAATTTGGTTTCATTGGCATTAGTTTTGTTTGTGCTACAGGCCTGTGAACATGTCGGAGAATAAGCTGCATTTTCGGCATATTTTGCTTTACTACTTCAAGAAAGGCAAGCGAGCTACGGAGGCCCACCGAAAGATATGCGGTGTATACGGGGACGATGCCTTAACAGAACGTGCCGCTCAGAAATGGTTTGCCAAATTTCATTCCGGAGATACGAGTCTTGAAGATGGACCCCGCAGCGGTCGGCCGACCGAGGTTGATTCGAATGATATCAAGGCACTGGTTGAGCAAGACCGGACGCTAAAGGTGCGAGAGATTGCGGAGACACTTAAAATAGGTTATGGAACCGTTCAAAGACATTTACAATGGCTTAGCTACGTGTCCCGCCTCGATGTTTGAGTGCCGCACAAGCTGACCGAGGAGAACCTGGCCAACCGCATATCCATCTGCAATTCACTTCTGAAGCGGCACGAAAGCGACCCGTTTCTCAAACGAATAGTGACTGGCGACGAAAAATGGATCATCTACAACAACATAATGCGCAAAAGATCATGGGGAACCGCTGGCGAGCCGCCGAATGCCATCCCGAAGGCCGGCCTGCAATCGAAAAAGATTTTGCTATCCATATGGTGGGATCATCGTGGTGTGCTGTTTTACGAGCTGCTTCCTCAGGGAAAAACGATCGATTTGAAGGTCTACTGCACGCAGCTAATGAAATTGAATCAAGCATTGCGACAGAAACGTCCAGAACTGGTCAATCGCAAAGGTGTCATATTCCACCATGACAACGCCAGACCCCACACCGCAATAATCACTCAGCAAAAATTAGTGCAACTTGGCTGGGATGTTTTGCCCCACCCACCGTATTCACCAGATCTTGCGCCATCCGACTACCATTTGTTCCGGTCCCTGCAAAACTCCCTCAACGGGAAATCGTTCGCTGATCAGACAGCTGTGAAAACGTACCTTGACCGGTTTTTCACCTCTAAGCCCCAGACCTTCTATGAGAGCGGAATAATGAAATTGTTGGAAAGATGGCAAGAGGTCATCAACAAAAACGGAGAATATATCATTGATTAAAATTCATCCTTTGTATGAAAAAAACTTGTTTCATTTTAGCCTTCAAAAACCGAACGAATATATGGATCCACCCAATACATTATAAAACAAAAGAATTCTATAACTTTGGTTATTACCACATGAAAAACAAACTATTTAAAAGAAAAATATATATATATATATGGGGTGTTCTCTGTCAAATCGGCCACCCCCCTGCCCATTTCAATTTTTTAGATAAAATTCTTTAAAAGGGCTTAAAATTTTCATTGAAATGTCTAGTTTGCGATGACGTATGGCCTTTTTGAAAATTCAAAATGGCGAACCCAAAATGGCGACTAGAATGCAAACAGACACCGAAAAAACAAATATCGTGAATAAATTTTTCAAAACAATTAAATGTCACTTTATAAAGAGTAATAGCATATTGTTTACACCAAAAGACGGTTTTAATTATTTCTTCTCGTTCTTATTTCTTTTAATTGGAACGATAGAGGCACGACGCTCCTGATGCTCGAGCGACTCGTACGCTGCGTGCGGAATAGCAAGGTGGACAACACGACCATATCATGCTACTGAGTCTAATCGTCAATTGTTTCCTATTAACGTATTAACGTCTCCCGAAAAGCGAGGCAAATTTGCACAGTTTGCTAAC